ATGGATCTTACAGGTCTAAGTAACAAGGATATATTCTCAACATGCATGCATATGCTAAAATAGGTCACTGGTTGCATAAAACATGCAATATGTTGGCAGATGCTACAACTGTATATGCAGATAATGATGCAAGTACAAAAAATTGATTGCTTATGAAAATTTCCATTTGCACATATTGCACCTGTATGTTTCTGAATACATAGGTAGCTACATTTCAATTTTTCCACAGTATTTTAAAAACTAATCAGTATTCTTATCATATTCTCTACATGTCCATATAATTATTATGAGAACATCAAAGTGGCATTACTTAATTTCACAGAGTAGCAAAAAGGGTGACCACTTGCATTCATTTGTACATATTTCCTAAACTATTGACACGCGTAATTTGGGATGTTTAGCCATTTCACTTGGTTTTGATTGTCTTAATAGAACGGAGATACTAGAGAAGTGAACATGCTCCCCAGAAAGTCTCTCTCTGTTTCATTTAATGATGTAAAACATCAGGGACAGTTGTTATACAGTATAATGACTTTTTTCCTTAGGAGGTGGGAAACGGCAGAGCTGGTGAGAAGAGACCACTTGGGAGTGTAAAATAATGCAATGCAAATAAGTGGAACACCCCTCTTAAGCAAAATTAATCAATCTTATTTTCAAGAACAAAAGACCTGTGCTGCTGCTTCAGCCTTCGGAAGTTCATATTCATAGGGTGGGAAAGAAAGGCAGGGAAACTGAAGGAAACAACAATGCAAACAAAGCAGATATTGAAAGCAGTGGCATAAAACGAAGATGTTATCATGCTGAGAAGTTGCAAGTAGCAGAAAAAACCAAAGATATATTTGTTAGAACTGTACTGTTGATGAAATGTATTGCATCTGGCTCTATGAATCCCGAGATCGCTAAATCTGGACATTACAGATCTAGTTTCCCTCAAAATTATTCCCTGACAGTAATCTATGAATGACATACCAAAAGTCATGAGTTAGTATATAGCTCCTTAAACTGATTTGTAATCTACAGCTTTACTCACAAACAGCACCACACAAACACAGGTACATCACAAATAAGCACCGATACCCACAAAATGCATCCTCTTTGCTTTAACAGCATAATCACAAATACTATTATATCACTTAAATTCCTATTGCCTACACTTTAGAAACTAAACACAGTCAAGAAACGAATGTGCAAACGTGGCGTAGTAACTTGTGTTTCACACTTTGAAAGAGGCTTCTCAAGTTTCAGGTAACGCAGTCTTTTGTCACAGCACCATGGCAGAATCTGTTCACGAATACACTTTTTCAGTCTATTAGGGCCCAATTCAGGAGCAGGAGGAGACAGCATCCCGCTGAGAACATCTAGCAAAGGTTGCATGATCGATTTCTTGAAGCAGTAAGGAGGGAACACAAAGGACCTTACTTTTTTATTACACTGAAAAGTGCTGATGGCTCTGCTCAGGTTGCTTTCCTGTCAGCGTCTTAAAAGCAACAAATAAAGGTTGCAACAGCACATAAGTAAGAGCATATACAGTACAAAGGAAAAAAAGCAGATAGACAATTAAGAGGAGGCTAAAGGTGTAAAAAACCTGCTCATTTAATGATTGGCATTGTCAGAAGAGCCCTGGGGTATATTTACGCTGTGTCCAGAAGCTGTGACTACAGCACACCTAGTAGCTACCTTAACCCAGCTAGGTCAGGTAAGAAAAGCCACGAAGCTCTAAGAATGAGCTTGAATTGCCATGTCTGATGAAACACATGAATAATTGTGTTCCAAGATTTTACAAGAGGTATCCCATGAGACTGGATGTTTATGTTACTGTTACTCAACTTAAGTGTCAGTAAACAAAGCCTGCGTGCTGCCCTCGCCCTTGTCAGTGCCGAACTTGCATAACTTGCAGAGAGATATCTGGGACCTAGATTTTGAAAATTGAGTGGTTGCATGGGTTTTCTCATTGTTGAATGGACTACCTCTTACTCAAGTAACTATTTTCTTTCTCACAGGATTAGAATCAAATGAAGCCAAACACATGGCTTCAGATATGGAGAATGTGTGGAGAGTCAGAAGATCTGTTTTGCGGGTGCTGTTGAACACAACACAGAGCAGATCCGAGTCTCCTCTGATTGTAAATCAGAAGGAATTCATTCTACAAAGAGACACAGAAAGGAAACAACTAGAAAACTGACACCGAGTTCTTAATTATATTTCCTGCCATTTATGAAAAATTACATTAAAAGATAAATGCAAACATGTCTGTTGGAAGTCAAGCATAATAAAATGGAGTGATTTTATCTACTGCTATTATAGTAAATTTTAACATATATGTTGTATATGTTCCAATATCAGCATTCATGACTTGGTCAGGATCTAAATTACTGTACTGATTTATTGTGCTCTAGATTTATTGAGGTTTTGGCAAAGATTCTTCTTCAAGCATCTCCTGAGAAATAACTAACTGGAAACAATTAAATGTTGTGGCCCACTGATAATTAAAAAGTAGGCAGTAGGGACAAAATCAAAAGGTCATGATTACTCTTCTGATATGCGCAGATTCTGTTAAGGCTTAAGTTTGGAGTTGTTTGGGGTTTTTTGCCGGTGCAGTTATCAAAACAGTAGGCATTTTTGTTTTATGTTTGCATCTCTAAATAAAAGGACTGGCAATAAATGTAGGATTGCAACAGCTATGAGTCTAGATCATGGCAGGACCTATTTCCATGTGTTACACTAAGATAGAATACAGTTCCAGTAGCTACCTAAATGCTACGGCACAAATGTTGTTACGTGTTTTAGCTGAGTGACATTACCCTGCAATAAAAAATTGAGACTGAAAAGCTAGTGACCATAGGGAAAAAGTGGGTAGGCCAAGGTTTACCTTCCTTAAACATCTGTTTAAAAAAGGTTCCAGTTATGAAAAACATAAGCCACCTGCACTACAGGGAAGCAACTGGATAAAAATCCTAATGGACTCAGGATCCTCCCTACTGACAACTGACCTTGCTCTGATCTAACAGGAGCATTTCAACACGGCTGGCCGGAGCACGCGCACATCTCCACTGACTTTTTCATTTAGCTTCACATGTAGACCTCCCTATGAAATGCATCCTCCTGTGTGTACACTTCTCACTGCTCATAGTAACAAAGTGAGTGACATTAATGGCATTTACCCACAAATAATAAGCACATACCAACTGCATATTGAATTTTAACATTTCCATTCAATAAAAAATCCCTAACTTCTTGACAAACTGATGCAGAACTGCATTGCTTTATTCACCAATGAAATACGATTACTTCTATGATTAAGTAATTAATTAGAGCTGCACAGTGCAAGACAAAATAGCAGAAATCCTAATCTACAGCTCTTAATAATGCAAGCCATCTCATTAAAATAACAGTGGCAAAAGTAAGAATGGGATTACTACATTAAAATGCAGAGGGATTGCAAGACCTGGCTCCAACTTATAGCCTGATCAAGGCCCACTGAAATTAAATGGGAACTTTAATCCATTAGGCATTAAAAATAAAGAAATTGTAATCTCCTCCAGCTGAGAATGCAGGAAGAGAGACTGCATTGTTTGGCAGTGCACGTAGGTCAGCTTTTTCACCCTAACTGCAATTTTTGACATACTGGTCTTCCCAATCTGTCTTTAAAGGTAATTGCATTACGTTATTCCTATATAAATAAAAATAAATGTATTTTAAATACAGATGTTGATTTTATATTTTTTTAGTACAAATCTATGTTAGCATTCTCTTTAGCTTTCAAGTACCATGTCATATATATATAATACATATAAAACAGCATATAATTGCAACCTTAAGTGCTAGTGCAACTAGTGTTGAGCAACCCATTTATTTCTATAGCTACAAATCATTTGGGCATATACATTATTTTGTTAACCAGGAAAAGGAAGCAGTTTTGAGTTTTGTTTCAGGTTTTTCTTAAGATCAGTATGCCATCCAAGGTTTGCATTCAGTTTGCAGGGTTTGTAGTGAACAATTCATCAAGGAAAACAGATGTTCTATTCTCTGAAATATGTATGTCATTGTTCAGAAATGCTGCTATAGGTAATTAATTTTTAAAGGTAGCTTTTGTATCACTGAACAATACTTATCTAGTCATGCTGTACCGTGAAGAAAGCATCTGCCTGCTGTATCTTTGCTACAGAACTTTTTCATCCAAGTCTTCTCCATGGCTCCACTCATCTTCCCTGTGACAGGGAAAGTATCGACAAGAAGTGACAGGGTTCCAGTAAATCAGTAAGGAGACCAGCTCCTCGCCACAGAGCTCTGAAAGGAAGGGTCAAATTCACTTCTCATTTACACACATGAAACCTCACTAGCTGAAATGAAACTGCTGGCTGAATATACAGCTATCTACATAACTATCGTTGTATGCATATGAAGACGAAAGAGCTCCAAGATACAGGTATTTCTAACACGTGTTACTAGAACTAGTAGATGCGGTTGAGATAAAAATTCCCAGATTTTGCCTTTGTGCAGTGTAGTGACATGTCTACGACACCCTCCCCGATAAGTGCATCGCTGCATGAAGACTTGTTTTTGCAGGTCTCTTTAAAACCTACTGGATGCATCACTGTTTCTTCTTTGCATGCCCCTGTAATTCTAGCTTGCCTTTTTTTTTTTCTCCTGTGTAACCACCAAATTAAAAGTTTGATAATGCCCCTTTCTCTCTCACTTGAATAAACAGATTTTGCTTCTTATTACAGCTAAATATCTACCCCATCAGATTCAATCACTTCCCCCATATATTTTTCTTCCCCCATATTTTTTTTTTTCACTGACCCTTTTTTTTTTTGACCACACAGTTCCCTCCCAAAGCCCCGGTATATTTTCTTTTTCACCTGACTCCCAGCTACGTTAAGGCTAGCGTTAGTGGTACCACTGGCTTGTTTTGTAAATAGCCTCTCTTGACAAATAAGTGAAATTGCAGGTGCCCTCTCCCATCGCCACCAGGATGTGGCCCTGGAGAATGTTGCTCTCTAGACGAAGACACTGAAGAGAGGAAACTCAGCTTGGTTGGGCTGCAGCAAGTCAGTCAGGAAACACACAGTTCCCGAGAAGCCTTCATACAGACTATATACACTTTCTAATGCCCGGGAACCAGCCTTAAATTCTTCTGTAAATAAGAACTCTGCAAACCTAAGAAACAAGAAAAAAAAAGCAGTTTGTTATTATTTGGTGTTCCTGTACGTCTACTTGTTGTTTGAAAGCATCACTTTAGTAACACTCAATGATTGAAAAAATTATTATTTAACCTTATGTGGAAATTTTACACTCCTATTTCCATGATAAACAGGTCTATGAGATCTAGAAAAGCCAAACCTTTGCAAACTGTACATGTGTTATGCTTCCTTGAGAGCTATGAACTTTTTCTGATTTCTGAGAGACATATTATTAAACAAATACTTTTTAATAACTTTTATGTTGATTGTTATTTC